TCGGGTCATTACGGCGCACCCTGACGAAGATCGTGGCCTCGTAGGGAGCTCCACCGAAGGCCCCAGCGGCAGGGTTCGCATAGCGGCTTCGGGCTATCGGGCCATTTCGGCACACCCATCACGAGGATCGTGGCCCCACAGGAGCTCCACCGAAGGCGCCAGTGGCAGCTTCCCTAATGGTTTTCAGAGCCCTCGTCTGCTTCTGCTCCTGGGTCAGGGGTGCGCCGTCCTCGTCGTCGCCGTCGACGCCCGCGAAGACGGCCGCGAACGTGTCCTGAGCATGTCGGGTTCCGGCGGGAAGCCGTGGCCACGTAGGGAGCGTGGGCGAAGATGATATTCATAATTGCGGTATTCACAACTGCGCATGGTTGGGTCTTTCGCCAAGCTAATTTCAAGGGACACTGTGGGGCCACCAAACTGTGGCCCTGGGTCATGGTTTAAAACAGCAGCTGTTCCCGCCGGATGCGTCCTCACGATGTAATCCCAAAACGCCCAAATTACGCAGGAATCGCGCTCTGGCGCGGGACTGCTTCGCAATGGATTCAAACGCCGTGCACTCGACACTGAATCACGCCAGTGGAAAGAATCTGCCACGATATATTTGGGAATCGCACGCGCTTCATGCAGGGCAAACGCTCCAACAACCCGCGGGCTCGACCTGGCCACCCGGACCCGCCTTCCCTACGCGCTTAATAGGGTCGACCCGCCCCGCCCGATGTGCCCGCTCCATCCTGCTCCCTTTCGCTTGTCCCCTCTTTCCATCCGCCCTCTCTTCTCCTGCCTTAAGGGCTGCGCGAAACACGCGCTGCAGGTAAGAGATGTGTACCCCGGCAAGGGTACCGTCGAAGACGAAGACGGCAGGCATCGAGGGTTTGGGACATGCGTGTTGAATGGCACGCGAACAGATAAGGGCGAACAGTCTGAAACTTCGTGTTGCTGTTGTCGTCGTTGCTGCTGTTGTTGATGGTGTCATTGTTGCAGTCGTTGGCGTCGGTAGTGTTGTTGTTGCTGTTGTTGTTGGAGGTGGCATTGATGGTATGTTGTCTCCCTGTCTGCATATTTCGCTATCTCTCTCTCTCTCTATTCCCTCTCCCTCTCTTTATATTTCCCTATTCTCTCCCGTTCGACATATCTGTGTTTGTTGTTTCTCTCTCTCTGTGTTCTCTCTCTCTCTCTCTCTTTCTCCCTCTCTCTCTCTCTCTCTCTCTTTTTCTGTATATCACTTGCTCCCCCTCTGTCTTTTGTCTCTCTGTCTCTCTCTCTCTCTCTGTCTCTCTCCCTCTCTCTGTGTATCTCCCCCTCTCTCTCGGTCTTTCCTTTCTCACTCTATAGATTGTTGTCTCTCTCTCTCTCCTTCTCTCTCTCTCTCTCCTTCTCCATTTCTCGTTAAATATATTTTGTTGATCCCAACCATCCTGTGGTGTTGGGTCCTCGTTTCGAAGCGCCGGTCCCCGCGTTCCCTCCTTCCTTCCTCCCTCTTCCCTCCCCCTCCTCCGCCCTCCCTGCGTGTCACCCACCCAGTACAACGTTTCGTGCCCCACAGGGAGCTCCACCGGAAGCCCCAGTGGCACGGTTCGCATGGCGGCCCGGAGTTTTGGCGTACCTTTTTAACGGTTCGTGGCCCCTTCGGAAACCCGACCGACGGTCCCAATGGCAGGGTTCGTAAGGCGGTCCCGCCCCACTTTGGCGCACCCCTCACACGGTTCTTGGCCCCGTAGGGGGCTCCACCGAAGGCCCCAGTGGTAGGGTTCGCATGGTGGCCCCGCATTTCACACGGATTGTGGCCCCAAAGGGAGCTCCACCGAAGGCCGCAGTGGCAAGGTTGCAATGGCGGCCACGTGTCATTCTGGTGCACCCCTCACACGGTTCGCGGCCCCATAGGGAGCTCCACCGAAGGCCCCAGTGGCAGGGTTCGCATGGAGGCCCCGCGCCATGTTGGCGCACCCCTCACACGGTTCGTGGCCCCATAGGGAACTCCACCGAAGGCCCCAGTGGCAGGGTTCGCGCGGCGGCCCCGTCCCATTCTGGCGCACCCTTCGCACGGTTCGTGGCCCCATGGGGAGCTCCACCGAAGTTCCCAGTGGCAGGGTTCGCATGGCGGCCCCGCCCCGTTGTGGCGCATCCCTCACACGGTTCGTGGCCCCATGGGGAGCTCCACCGAAGACCCCAGTGGCAGGGTCCGCATGGCGGCCCCGCCCCAATGCGGCGCACCCCTCACACGGGTCGTGGCCCCACAGGGAGCTCCACCGAAGGCCCCGGTGGCAAGGTTCGCAACCCTCACACGCCCCATAAGGAGCTCCACCGAAGGCCCCAATGGCACGGTTCGCATGGCGGCCCCGTGTCAGTCCGGCGCTGTCCTCACACGCATCGTGGCCCCGTTGGGAATTCTCCTTTGCGTCGTCCAACCTGCCCTGCGGTTCTCACACTTCCGTATGGTTGGGTCCTTCTCCAGATTTGTTTGTTTCTGTCTCTCTTTCCTTCCGTCTCATTATCTGTTTCTCTCTCTCTCTCTCTCATTCTCTCTATCGCTCTCGCTCTTGTGATCTCTCTCTCTGTTTATTTCCCTCTTTCTCTCTCTCTCTCTCTCCATATCTCTCTATGTCTCTCCGGTTCGTCTCACGATTTCTCTCTATGTCTCAATATGTTTATATAGTTGCACGCATATATATATATACATATATAGACGTGTGTGTGTGCTGGTGATTATGTTTGGTTTCTCTCTCTCTCTCTCTCTCCCGTTTTTTTCTCTCTATCTCTCTCTCGCTCTCTCCCATCCGTTGTTTGTTTGTTGTGTGATGTGTATGTATGTGTTGTGTTACCGGCTTGCTATATCTATATATATAGATATATATATGTATACACATATAAACATCTATATATGTTACCGGTTTTACCTTTGTGAATATATATATATATACATACATAGATCTAGTCATCGTTATTTGTCTCCCTCTCTCAATATCTCATCTAGTTGGTGTTCGCTCTCGTGTTCTCTCTCTCTCTCGTTATATTTCTCTCTCTCTGTCTCTTCCTCTCTCTCTCTCTCGTTATCTCTCTCTCTCTTGTTTCCAACTATGTCTATACCATTTATGTGTCTCTCTCCCTCTCTCTCTCTCATTCTATACGGACGCGGCAATCCAGCAGCGTGACCAAATTGATGCATGTACGGATGAGGCGGCTCCCGTGTCAGGCTCCTGCACCTCGCAGGTGTGCCGGCCAGCGTGGGCCCCACAAAAGAGCTTCTACGAGTCTGTGCTGTGCACCGCGCGCTGCGCCGGGCACGGGAGGCGCTCGGCGCGGTGTGATGCAGCATGCGCTGTGCACCAATAGAGTCGGGGCGTTGACCTAAGGAACGATAAATAAGGAACGAGGCCCCTGTTTATCCCAAGGAATAACGCACAAGGAAGGACAAGTAACAAATAACGCATAAGGAACTGTAAATAACGCATGCAAGCCTAAGGAACGACCGAGCCCCTTTTGAAAAGTAAGCGTTCCTTATTCAAGCCGCTCACTGTAAGGCAACATACGCTGTGCACAAATGTGTTGTGCGACGTGCGAAATGCAAAGCGCTACCGCAATGCAGCCAGCGCGGCACGTGTGCACCCCGAATGCCGGCAAGCGCCGGGAGCAGCACGCCAGAGAGTGGGCGTAGCAGCGCCATGCGCGGTTGACTGAATTGCCGCGGGGAAACCGCAAGAGGAACTCCCACTCGCTCTGCTGATTATGTGTTCCCCCGGCTCGCCTGAAATATGTCCAATGAAGGGGGTAACGTCACTGAAGTCACGATGTCATCGTCGTCGTCGGCGTCGTCGTAGCCGCGCCTGTCGTCAACGTGGACTCGCTCTAACATCCATCTGTCCGTAGAAAGATGTCATCAGCGATACTGGACAAAAGCATGAAATGCACAATTGGGAATATCCGCGCCGAACAATAGGAGTTCCAGGTCTGCTATGACACTTGTCCGCGGAAGAAAAAACAGCAACGCCATGGGAACTTGGCAGCACCCCCTCTTACGAAGCAGAGGCTGACAGTCTGGGCACTCCTATAGGCCCTCTGCGACTTCTCTAAACAAAGACATGCTCGTAGAGCGTAAAGCCAATGTACATTCAAAAACAAGACGGCCTCAGCCAAAAATGTGATTACTCTCTGGAGAGCCTCAAAGCAGGCACGCCGAGACGCGTCGCCATCGCTTGATCCTGGCCTCCCCTGGTCCCTGTCCCGGTCACTCAGGGCTGTCAGATCCCTCTCCATTACTCCCTGGACTTCTCCCGGGGTGCGTTGTGACCACAATTTCGAGGCGAATCGGGGTGTGGCGACGGGAGCCTCCCACGAAGCCGTCACGAGGTCCAAGAAGGGGAAACGGAGACAAGGCAAGCAGCATGGGTACCTTTTCCTCCCCTGATACTTCGCCGCCGCCGTCGCCGTCGCCGCCATCGGCGCCGGCGGCGGCCCCGGGCGCCGTCGGCAGCGCCAGGAGGTGCGCAGTCGGCGGCGCCGTTGGCGTCGGCGGCGGCGGCGGCGGCGGCGGCGGCGGCGGCGACGGCGTCGTCGTCGTCGTCGTCGGTCTCGGCACCTTTTCCTCCTCTGATCCTGCGGTCTGGACGCCCGATATGGGTACCGAAAAAATTGGTACTATGCCCAACAGCAAATGTTGTCCCAAACCAACAGCGGCCGCTGTTAGGCAGGCGGCCTCCTGTCTCGAATGGACACAGGCCGCGGCGGCGTGGACAGCGAGCCCTGTTCAAACTGAACAAGATCCGCTGTTCGGCATTGTACCCATTCTTTCAGTACCAATTTCGTGCGTGCAAGGCAGGGCCCCCGCCTCCACCGCGGGCAGCGGCGTCCCCGGCGTCGCCCCCTGCGGGGTCGCCGGGACCCCCGCGGGCGTGCCGACGGCGGGCGGGGGCGTGCCCGGCGTCGTCGCGGCCTTCGGGCGGGTGCCGAGGCGCAAAGCCGGGGAGGACTGCGCGGTCGACCGTGGACCCTTCGTCGTGGTCGTCGTCGTCGTCGTCGTCGTCGTCGTCGCCGTCGCCGTCGTCGTCGTCGTCGTGGTCGTCGTCGTCGCCGTCGTCGTCGCCGCCGCCGTCGTCGTCGTCGCTGTCGTCGTCGCTGTCGTCGTCGCCGTCGTCGTCGTCGAGGGGTCCACGGTCCACGGCCCCCGATCCTCCTCCCCTCGCCATCGCTCGGACGTCCATCCCCCGTGCATCCTTCGGTTCCTTGCGCGCGCGTATGTATCGCGTGAAGGTCCGAGACGTTCCTCGCTGGTTCTCGCATATATTTCGCAAGGTGGTGCAACAGGGCTGAACCTAAGCGGTGCTCTTCGTTTCCGTGTCTTGTCTTTTTTCCCTCGCTTCTGCCTCGGATCCGCCTTCACCTCAAAACGATGTCGGAACGAAAACGGCCCACGAGATCATCGAAGACACCGCTTGGGTCCAGCCCCGTGATGCAAGATGCCCGTCGCTGGTTCTCGCCGACACGTGCACACGTGCGAGCGATGCCGCGCCAGGAGGGCGCCGGCGATGCACCCGCACCGATCCTGGCTGGGCCCGCCCTGCGGATTCACGTCGGATGTACAGTCGGGGCGTTGACCTAAGGAACCCTAAATAAGGAACGGGGCCCCTTTTTTCCATAAGTTAAAGTTCGATTTCCCATGGACAACCTCAGGAAAACCCGAGGCAAACTATGGAACAATCAAGGAACACCGAGCCCCTCCCCAACGAAAAGGGTTCCTGCTTCAGGGCCCCGAATGCACGTCGGGTTCCCGTGGGGTCGCGTCGGGTTGGCGTCGGATTCACGTCGGCCTCTCGTCGGAGCACCGCCGTGCGAACGTCGACCCATGCTGAGCTGTCGGGGCGGACGTGGGGACTAGGTCCGCCGACCCACGCCTGCCAGGGGTGAGCAGGCGCGCGAGACATCTGGCTTTAAGTCGAGTCGGGCCTGTCCCCCTACAGGGGGATTTTCGACGAAGAATCAAACATACCCCAAACATTGCTTAAATAAAAAAATAGTCTGGGGACTACTTTGAGGGTATGTTTTATCCATTCTGGTTCATTTTTACGGTATGTTTTAGTCTTCGTCGAAAATCCCCCTGCAGGGGGACAGGCCCGACATAAATCTGGCTGTGCGTTCCCCCTCCCCTCTCCCCCCACCGAGGTCTGAGATCCGATCGGAGGGGAGGGGGGCCGGGGAGGGGGGGGGGGAGGCAGGAGCTCGGCGGCGCACCCCCGGGGCCTCCGGAGCCGCCAAAAAGCCCCAAAAGACGGCCAAGGAGCCGAGGAAGAGCGCCAGGACGGTCGAAGAGAGCGCCAGGACGGCCCAGAGTATCCCCACGACGATCCGAGATGACTTCAACAGGCCCACAAGGCCAGCAAAACGGCCCAAAAGTGTTCCCAGAGGACCGCCGAGAAGGCCCCAAGAGGCAACCATCTTCCCTTGCCCTTACGAACGCATAAGTTGTTTGCACACTCGCTTGTTTCGCCTTGATAGCTTCTAAGACTACCCAAGGGACCTCCAAGATCGACACAAGACGGCCGATGAGGCCCTCAAGAGGGCTCAAAGACGGCCCAAGAGGGCCCTGTGCCGGCCCAAGGGGCACCCAACACGGCCAAAGAGAACCCCGAGAGGACCACAAAAACGCCGAAGAGGGGGAGGCACCCCCAAGAGGCCCCAAGAGGCCCCAAGAGGCCTCCAAGACGCCCCCAAAAAGACCCCAAAAGGACCCAACAAGCCTCTCAGATGCACCCAAGATCCTTCATCCCGAAAGACCCTCAAATTTATCCAAGATGCTCCTGACTCACAGCCCAGGCACAGAGACAGTCTGGGACGAAGGCCACTAGAGAACTTCCACGATCGTCGCAAACTCTGCCTTCTTTTATGAGTTGGCGGAATTGATGGGCCTGTTTCCACCACCAGCACCATAGTTGGAGGGGGGAAGGAGGTGGAGGACGAGGAGGAGGACAAGGAGGAGGAGGAGGAGAAGGAGGAGGAGGACGAAGAGGAGGACCCCCTCCCCCTCCAACTTATGGTTGTGGTGGTGGGAGAGAGCGCGATCCACCGCCGCTTTACTGTGGAAAATTGCCAGCCTTTTCCTCCGGAGCCCGGGGGTCGCCCCCCCCCCCCCCCTCCGAAAATCCCCCCCCCCCCCCCCCCCCACCCCCCCCCCCCCCCCACCCCCCCCCCCTCCCCCCCCCCCCCCCCCCCCCCCCCCCCCCCCCTCCCCCGGCAAAACCCCCCCCTCCCCTACCCCCCCCCCCCTCCCCCCTCGAAAACCGGGGGGGGTCACTACCGGTTCGAACCCCTCCCCCCCCCTTCCGGATCTGGAAAACCGGGGGGGGGTCACTACCGGTTCGAACCCCCCCTCCCCCCTCGAAAACCGGAGGAGGGTCACTACCGGTTCGACCCCCCTCCCCCCACGCACCGCCAGCAAACGACTCCCGGTCCCTACCACCGTCCACATCACATCCCACTGTTGTTCCCAGCACCACTGTCCTCACCACCACTGTCCCCACTGGTTCCACCACCGTCCCTACTGTCCCCACCAGTGCCCCCACCACTGTCGCACTGTCCCCACTGTTCCCACCACTGTTCCCACCACGTTCCCACCACGGTTCCACTCTCCCCACTGTCTCCACGGACCCAACCACTGCCCGACTATCCCCACTGTCCCCGCTGTCCCACTGACTCCTCCGCTGTCCCACTGAGATGTCCCACTGTTCCCACCACTGTCCCCACTGTCCCCACCACTGTCCCCACTGCACCTCTGTCCCATTGTCCCACCGCCGTCCTCGCCACCGCCTTCACCACTGTCCCCACCACCATTGTACCCTCCACTATCCCACTGTTTCCACCTCATTCCCACTGTCCCCACACGACTGTCCCCACCACCACCGTCCCCACCACTGTCCACTGTCCCCCCCGTTCCCACCATTGTCCCCACCACTGTCCCCACCACTACCGTCCCCACCACTGTCCCACTGTCCCACTGTCCCCACCACTGTCCCGCTGTCCCCTCACCACTGTCCCCACCAACACCGTCCCCACCACTGTCCGCACCCCCACTCGGTTTTCGGGGGGGGGGGGGCTCGAACCGGTAGTGACCCCCCCCCTTTTCAGGATGAACTGGGTGGGGGGGGGGAGGGGTTCGAACCGGTAGTGACCCCCCCCGGTTTTCCGGAGGGGGGGGGAGGAGGGGTTCGAACCGGTAGTGACCCCCCCCGGTTTTCCGCCAGCAGCGGTAGAACACGCTCTTTCGGTGGTGTTGGAAGACAGGCCCATCAAGAATGGTGTAACCCACTTGAATAATATCATTATTGGAAACCGTGCGAGGCCTCCAGGGCTTTCCGCGCAGGGCCACGTGTTCGACCGGCCCTGGGCGGTCTTCGGGCGGTCTGCCGACACGGTCTTCTCACGGTCTTCGGCGGCGTCTGCCCGTCGTCGGCGCGAGGGCTTGATAGATGCGTTCAGCACGAGGGCCCATGATCGAGCACTCAGCAAAGACGCTCTCTGGCTTGCACCGCAAACGCTCATCAAATTCCAGCTTCGGGGAGGGAGGTGCCTCACGGGGCCGCGGGTCAGTCAACAAAACGGCTCGGGACGGAAAACAAGGAACCCCGGGAGGGGCCCCCAGACTGGGAGAAGCTTGGGGATGGGCACCAAGGCCAACACAGTTGTTGCCTCCACAAAGGGAGGCTGATGCTGAATGTTGGCGCTGGTGGCAATATTTCGACCACCTGAGCCTCGCCATCGCTCAGACGTCCATTCCCCGCGCATGTTTCGGCCTCGTGCGTGTACGCCTGGCTATGTGCAGCTGACCCAAAGTGCCCCGCCGAGGAAAACAACATACCAAGTCCGAGCGATGCCAAGAGGAAGCCAGAAGAGAACCACGACCACCGAGATAAGGATCCTCTTCCCTCGGTTCGGGAGCGGCCAAGAGGGGGGTGTCCAAGAGGGGGGGGTGCAAATGATGACCGGCGACATGTGCGCGGCCCAGCGGGGGGACCAGGGACGTCATGAAATGAGAAGGGAAATATCGTGGCCCCCGCCATGATATCCCCCCCCCTACTCCAGATTTCGTAATAAAAGGGAGGGGGTCTCAACCCTCCCAGACGAGAAGTTTTAGACCCCCCCCGTGGGAGAACCCTCCAAAACATCGTCCCCAGACCCCCCCAGGCCCTCCAGGATAGCCTGGAAGATACCCCCCCCCGAAATGAGACCCCCCTCCCTTTATTACGAAATCTGGAGTAGTCATCACCCCACCTCTTTTCCGCCCCCGATCGGTCGACGACGCCCGCCGCCGATGCCGGGAGCGGCGCCGGGCTCCGGGCCTCCGACCGAGGAGGGGGGGCATCCTCGGGCACCCCCGGTGCGGGGGCCCACGCCGCGGCGGAGGGCGGGGAAGAGCGGAGGTCAGAGAGCACGCTTGGGTCGGCCATGCCCCCCTGAAGGCGGATTGGGGCGAGTCTTTATGTGTGTGTGTATATATATATATATATATCAATCCTCTGAGGGGCAGTGTTCCACAAGTCAGCTCCAGAACAAAAAATGGTGGTGGTCACTCTGACCAGCACTCCGCACGGTTTTAAACATGTGGCTGGCTCTCTAACCTTACCCTGAGAGCCTACTGTTTAGGAGTCAGCTACATATGCTGGGGGGATACCCTCAGGCAGTCTGCAGCGCCCTGTGGTGGGGGACTTGGGGGCTGCCCTGCACCACACGAGATATATACAACAAAAACTCTACCAAAATACCCCCCAAAAAAGAGTCAACACATCGTCCCCAGACTATTCTTTTGTCCTATGTTTGAAGATTCCTCCTGTAGAGGGACAGGCCCGACTCAAGAGCAGGCTGTTGGCCGCTGGCTACGAGCGCAGGCGCCCAGGGCTCTGGCACCTGGAGCAGAAGCTCGCGGCCAGCTTTCCCGAGCGCTGGCCGCGCTCAGCAGGGGGCGGCGCGAGGAGGACGGCCTTCGAAGAAGACGAACGGCGCGTCTCAAAAGGCAGAGGACCTCTTAGAATGCCCTGGCGACTTCCAATACGACCCCTGGCGGGCGTTTAAGAGTCCTACTGGCTTCCTAGAAGCCCCGCCGTCTCTTTAGCAACCCGACACCCTGGCGCCACCCCCTTGTTGGCTCTGCGGCACAGAGACCGGGCTGCGTCGCGAAACCCATGCGAGCATCGTGGCTGAACACCACGGGTGCTGAGTCTGAAGATCTGGGCTGGATCTGAGCCCGAGCTGGCCGGAGCTGAGCCTAGGTCTGGAGCTGGGGCTAACCCCAGGCTAGAACTGAATCTGGCTCTCGAGCTGGGAGGGGGCTCGGCTTAAGATCTAGATAGGGCTACATCTGAACTTGGGCTGGAGCTGGAGCTGGGGCTGGAGGTGGGGCTGCAGATGGGGCTGGAGCTTGGGTTGAAGCTAGAGCTCGGGCTGGATCTGGAGAGAAGCTGGAGCTGGTCTGGAGCTGGAGCCAGAGTGGCTCCAGATGATCAGAATCAGGCTCAAGAATTCAGCTCTGGTATCGCAATGATACGATGGGCGAACAGTTGTGCTGAGATGGACAAAATCAAGCCTGGGAGTGGACTTCTGACAACACCACGTTCGGGCCATCAGGAAGTGTTGTACCTGGGCGATCGAACACAAAGTCCGGGAGTTGAGTTATGGCAGTGCCTGGATGACAATAGATTTGTCGGGATGCAATGCACTTGGGGCGTGCAATATCCGGGGCGCAAATGTATTGCTGAATTTTCGCGTGCCGTACTTTGGCTGCAATACAATTCTAAACATTTCTTTGGCGCAGTACGTTTGCGATACAATTGCCCCAAATCTATTGCACCACCCTCTTGTCGCTGGACCCAATTTTGGGGTCAATCCGACATGATCGACCCACGAACCCGGAAAGGAATACAGAAATGTGAAGCATGGCGGTTTGACACCTGATTGGGAGACGGGCAAATCCAATGCTGAGTGTATCGATCTTGATGTACCGCGCCCAAGGCTGTGCTGTGCGCCATGCCGCGATTGTGCTCTATAGCGTTGTGGATCGAGTCCTCCTTTGCATCCGAGTCCTGACCGAATTGATCTGGATCTTACGCTCGAGCTGCCTCAGCACATAGTAGCTGCCCCAGAGCTAGTTGACAAGGGGACATGCCAGGAGGACGCGCCGCGGAACGTCCCAAGGGACGCGCCAGGCGACGTGCCATGGGTGCGCACCGCGGGACGTGCCAAAGGGACGCGCTACGGAACGTGCCAATGGACGTGCCACGGGACGTGCCAGGGGGCGCGCCGCGCGACGTGCCAGGGGGACTCACCACGGGACGCGCCACGGAACGTGCCAAGGAACGTGCCAAGTTGCAATGCTGAGTGGATCGATCTTGATGTACCGTGCCCAAGGCTGTGCTGTGCTGGGCCGTGCTGAATTGCGATGTGCCATGCCGCGATTGTGCTCTATAGCGTTGTGGATCGAGTCCTCCTTTGCATCCGAGTCCCGACCGAATTGATCTGGATCTTACGCTCGAGCTGCCTCAGCACATAGTAGCTGCCCCAGAGCTAATTGACAGGGGGACATGCCAGGAGGACGCGCCGCGGAATGTCCCAAGGGACGCGCCAAGCGACGTGCCAAGGGACGTGCCATGGGCACGCACCGCGGGACGTGCCAAAGGGACGCGCTACGGAACGTGCCGATGAACGTGCCACGGGACGTGCCAAAGGACGCGCCGCGCGACGTGCCAGGGGGACTCGCCACGGGACGCGCCACGGAACGTGCCTACTTGCAATGCTGAGTGCATCGATCTTGCTGTACCGTGCCGAGGGCTGTGCTGTGCTGCGCCGTGCTGAACTGCGATGTACCATGCCGCGAGTGTGCTCGATTTAACGTTGTGGATCGAGTCCTCCCTGGCATCCGAATCCTGACCGAACTGACCTGGATCTTAAGCTCGAGCTGCCTGAGCAGATGGTAGCTGCCCCAGAACTAATCGACAGAGGGGACATGCCAGGAGGACGCGCCGCGGAACGTCCCAAGGGACGCGCCAGGCGACGTGCCAGGGGGCGTGTCATGGGCACGCACCGCGGGACGTGCCAAAGGGTGGTTCCAGCGCGACACCACCGTGTCAGATACCCCCCCCTGGGTGGCCTGGACACGTAAAAACACGTGGTTCCAGCTCGGGACCACATGCAAATTCACACTTTACCACGTAATTGATCGCAGGATAATTCCGCCGGCCCTACTCCCGCACGTAATTTATCGCAGAATAATTTCGCCGGCCCTACAGCCGTCGAAACCGGGGGGAACCAACTAAAAGAGAACCCTGGGCTCGAGCCCTTTCCGGGAAAAAATGCACAGGAATACCCAACGAGCACGAAGAAAACTAGGGCATACCCTCCCCGAACCGACCTCGATCTTTCCCCAGACAGTGCCTGCACTGAAGGGGTCCTGGCGGAAATTGGAAAATCTGGCGAACAAGTCCCTTCGATTTTGGTGGCCAGCTGGGTTCCCGGATTCCTGGGTTCCGGGTTCCTGGGTTCCTGGGTTCCTGGTTCCCAGCCGATTTCGGTGGGTTCCGGGTTCCCGGATTCCCGGTCGATCTCCTTATCGATCTCTTCATCAACCCACGAGACATTTCAAACCATCCACTGATTGGGGTTTCCCTGATGTGATATGCCTCGGTCCGACTGGCCCAGAACCGCCTTCTCCAACCTCCGAGAGACCCGTGGGTCCCTGGGGAGGGTCGAGCCTCGAGCTTCGATCGGCGACGACGGCGGGACACGACGACGACGACGACGCCGTCGACGACGACGACGACGACGACGTCGACGACGACGACGGCTGTTCCTCCTCTGAGCCTATGGGACAGACGCTCCGCCGATTATGCTCCCATCGTACTTAAGTGAGGAACCGAACTTTGTACACCGATGCTGTTTTTCCGGTCCCGCAATAAGATCCGCACAAGAAAACGGATTCTGGTGTATACGGCATCCGGGTGTATAATTTGCTGTTGCTTGCACGGGGAAACGGGGGAAAAAGTGCACACAACACAACACCCCGACGTCGTCCCCCGACCCTCAACAAATCCTTGGCTTGAAGAACAGCCCGCCACTGGTAATGTATATGTTCCAATTTCCGATGAATCGGGGATAGACAGACCTCCCTTTAGTAAAACGTGGTTTAGTGAAAACGACCTGAGGCCCAAGCCTGGCGGGCGCAAGCCTGGGAAATGACGGCCGCGGCGCCCTCTCGAGAACCGACAACGGACAATTCACTAGTCGACGTGTCACCGCTGGGGGTTCTGTCCACCCCCGACCCTCGGCAGATGCGTTCGCGAGTAGCCACGCCCTGCGAGTGGTGCAACGCGTCTGCCTTGGGAAGGAGGCACATCCGCAGAAGCATACACACGCAGGACTTCTGGGATCCGAGCGGGACCCCCCTCCTCCCGGCGGCAGGCGAGGGGGGAGGGGAAGCGAGAAGGAGGCGCCCTTCTGCAGGCGCGACGGGCCCCTGGCGGAAGGCGGCGCGAGCGCGCTCTGCCCCCATCCCTCCTGCGCAGGGGGCAGGCACCAGGAAGCTTATGATCGGCGGCGAGCGCGGGGGGAAAATTGAGGCGGACAAGTGAAGGGGAACTGGGACACACAAAGAAATACACGCACAAATAGCCAGATTCCCTACATTTCCGTACATGTTCTGTGCGCTTGTCTTCCCCCCCACTTCCCATATGTCCGCATATGTTCCTGGGGATCGACGATGAATTGTGTCTGTGTTTTTGTTCCCCTCCTGGACAAGGTCCTCTCAGAAGGCAGCGGGGCTTCTCAGAAGCCCTTCTGGCCCCCTGAGAAGCTTCCTGTGCCTCGGAACACGCCTCGGAAGGCCGGTGGACCTCCGAGCCTTCTTTTGGAGTCCCGAAACGGTGCGGTGACAGACCGTGCGGTGACCTCGGAACCCCCAGAGACCTCACCGCACGGTCCGTCACCGCACGGTCTTGGGACCCTGGAGGCCCCAGTCGCCCGAGACATCCTCGGAGAGGGACTCGAGTCCCAAAACCGTGCGGTGACCCCGAATCCCCACCGACTCACCGCACAGTGTGGTCACAACAGCGTTTGGGGGACTTCCGAGCCTTCTGAGAAGGCCCGCCCCCTCTCACTTCACCCCCGGAGCTGGCCGCCCATCTCTCCCGCGCGAGGAGCGCGCCGGGGGCGGCGCCGGAGGCGCCGCTGGGGGGGCCCAGCGCCGATTAAAGAAATCCGCGCAGGCCTCCGACAATGTGTGCTGATGCAGTTGTGCGTTGCAGTCAACCCGTATCATTAAGGATGCGCGACAAGGATGCGAGGGCCTTGGTATGCCATTCCGAAGCCCTTCCAGCGGGGCGCGGCCAACGAAAGTGGCCAAGGATGGACCGAGGAGGAAAGGATGCAAGGGTACCCTTGGGAAGGTCGCCCCTACCGCGCGGGTCGACTGTATGCGACCCTTTGCTCCCGCCCACCCCACGGCCTCGGACTTCATGCCCGGCGGCGTCGACGGCACGCTCGGCTTGGCCCCCGCCGCCTTCGCCCCGGACGTCATGCCGGGGGGCGTCGACGGCACGCCCGGCTTGGCCCCCGCCGCCTTCGCCCCGGACGTCATGCCGGGGGGCGTCGACGGCACGCCCGGCTTGGCCCCCGCCGCCTTCGCCTCGGACGTCATGCCAGGGGGCGTCGACGGCACGCCCGCGGAGGCCCCCGCCGCCTTCGGCTGCGGGGGCGTCGCAGGAGTGGCACCCGCCGCGGCAGCCTGGCGAGGACTCCCCCCAATGCAGGGGTTCCCGTACCACGGGATGGGACAGGACCTTTTGACATCAACCTCCAATGACGCCACCTGGATGGGGCAACAGTGAGCAGCTCGACTGAGACCCCACTCTTCTTGGAGAGGAGACCTTTGGCAAGCAGCCGCCAAGGCAAAAGAGAGCCAGGTGAAGGGGAAAATTCTCTGGCATCATAGGGGTGCGTCAGGGTGTGCGGGGGGGGCATACAGCCATCATGCTACCATAAGTAACGCTGAGCAAGGAACGGGGAGGGGGGAATTTCTGATCACGGCGAGCCTCGGCTTCGAATAGGCTCCCCGCGCTAGATCCAACGAACGGCCTGTGAGCCCAACATGGTCCTTGTCCTCACTTCAGCATCTTGACTGCAATGCGACGCACCATCGCGAGAGGGGTGGTGTATCTTGTCATGAGGGGGAGGGCGGTGTGGAGAAGGGCACATTGGGCGCCCCCGCCGCCTTTAACTCCGTGGGCGTCGCGGGCGTCGCGCCCGCCTTCGCCGCCGCCTTCATCTCCGTGGGCGTCGCCGGCGTCGCGCCCGCCTTCGCAGCCGCCTTCATCTCCGTGGGCGTCGCGGGCGTCGCCTTCGCCTTCGGCGTCGCGGGCGTCGCGCCCGCCTTCGCCGCCACCTTCACCTCCGTGGGCGTCGCGGGCGTCGCGCCCGCCTTCGCTGCCGCCGCCCCCCCCAGGCCCGCGGGCGTGGTGGGCGCACCGTGCACGGGCGTCGCGGGCGCGCCGTGCGCGGGCGTGCCCGCGGCCTCCCCCGTGGGCGTGGCGGCCGCCCCCGCCGGCGTCTTCGGGCCCGGCTCGCGGGTCAGGGAGCCGGGCGTCTTCGGGGCGCCCGAGCCACCCTGGCCGAGCGGCGTCTTCGGGGCCTCCTGGCGGCGGGGGGGGCGGCACCCCGAGGAGCCGGGGCGGGGGCCAGAAGTCAAGCTCCTCCTCCTCCTCCTCCTCCTCCTCCTCCTGCTCCTCTGGCTCTTCCCTGCCGGTTCCCGCTTGGCGCTGCTGGGTCGGTGTCCTGCTCGCGGCGGCGCCCGCAATGAGGTGGCGCGAGGAAGGCGGCCTTCGAAGAGGGCGGAGGGGCTTCGCAGAAGGTTGAAGCCTCCTTGGAGGACCCCGAAGGCTTCTAAGAGGGATAGGCTTCTAAGAAGCCCCACCTGCCTTCTTTAGACGAAGAAGGACACAACACACAAACATAAACATTTGGCGCTCCGCGCGGATTTGTTGGATTCTCGCTGGCGGAGCGCGCCAGGGGCGGCGCCGGAGGCGCCGCGGGGGGGCCCAGGCGCGGATCCAAGAAGTCCGCGCGGAGCGCAAACAGTTTATTTGTATGACGTTTTCTCCTCTTCGACAGAAGTCGAAGAAGGAATCTTGACGACGGGGCAAAGACGTTCTTCTTGAAGGACCCCGAGGGCTTCTGAGAGGGGTAGGCTTCTAAGCAGCCCCACCTGCCTTCTTCAGAAGCCCCGCAGACTGCTCAGAAGCCCACCCACCTCGTGCCGCCGACAACCTCTGCCCCTGCCCCCCTGGGGCAGGGGAAGGGGGAGCGGGCGCAACAGCGCCAGACGCTACCTGCACAGAGAGAGAGAGAGAGAGAGAGAGCGGCCCGAGCAATCGCAGGAGCGGCCAGCTTCGAATCGAGGGGCACGATATTCGCCCCATCCAACGGTTGGTGTCGTAAAGACGGCGTGCAACATCGATCTCCCAAAGGTATGCCATCCCTGTGAAGCGGATCTGCCCTCAATGGGCCATCCTGTGCGCACCATCCCTCTGCCAAGGCTTCTTCGGCGCACGCTATCCCCAATGGGGGGGTGATAGCGTGTAATGGGCGGGCCTGCGGTGGAACATCGCAAGAAATCTTTCCAACGCCAACCGTAGTCCCCACCCCCTCTGGGATGCTCCCGAAAACGCGGGGACCGCATCGGACCTCCATGACAACGAAAGATCCGACCGAGCTGGCCGAAGTCGTTACATACAACAAATATGATCGATGGGATCAACGCGGGCCTCGGAAACGTCATCGGTCGTCCATCGCTCCAATCAGCACTCCCCCACAGAACTCTCGGTGCTTTGCCGTCTTCAACACGGGGTATCCACAGACCACTCGACAACCTGCGAGGAATTTCTGGGGGCATCTTGCATTTTGCCCCGCAACGTATTGTAACTACCCAGAAAGCCCGGAAGCGACATCGACGACGGCGAAAACGACGGAAAGCCTCCTCACTGATTATGCTCACGACGTTGGATGTCTGCCTCCTGCAACACCCACCCTCGTCGGCGCCATCCCCCCTCATATCCCGTCGGCGCTCGCCCCCCCCTACGAACGCATGTTTGTTTCGCGGCGCCATGAGGGGCTTTCTGGGGGGAGGGGGGGGGCACGGGAGGGGGCTTAACGCAGCGCCCACCCCCAGACTGTGATGGCGCACTGCGGCAGTGCTGGGGGCGCACTGCGGGGGGGGGGAGCGTTACGCTATGGGGGGGGGCAGGGGGGGGGGGAGGGGAGGGGTAGAGGGCACAACGCGCGGGGGAGGGGAGGGGCAGCGGGCATCACGCGCGTCTTGGCCCAGGGGAGCAAACAACCACACTCCCCACCCTCCCTTTCCAACCCCCCTTCGGAGCTCGGCCCCCCGCACATCCCCCGCCCCCCCTCGGAACTCGACGGCCCCCTTCTCCCCCCTCGCCCCACGCCCTCCTCCCCACTGCCTGCCCCCCCCCCCCCACGTGGGAACTCGACGGCCCCCTTCTCCCCCCTCGCCCCACGCCCTCCTCCCCCTGCCTGCCCACCCACCCGCCCGTCGCCGCTCGGCCCCCCCTCGGCGCACCCGCCCGCCCACCCCCCCCCCCCCACCTCGGCCCGCCCGCCCCCCCCCTCTCCCCGCCCCCGCAGGCGGCGGCAGGGCAAGGAGCGAGGGCCCCGCCTTCACCACCTCGGGCCTGCGCGGGCGGGGCGCAGGCCGCGCGGCCGCGTCGTCGGAGGGGGACGGGCCGCGAGCGGGGGGGGCGAGCGTGGCCTCGCTTGCTCGGCTTGCTTGCATGCGAGCGTCCCTTCGAGCCTCCTGATCCTGCTCCTCCTCCGCGCCGCCTCCTCCTTCGCCGCCTCCTGGCCCTCCTCCACCACCTCCGCCTCCTTCTCCTCGTCCTCAACCTCCTCTCCCTCGCCCTCCTCCTCCCCTTTCCCCCTCCTCCCACTCTTCCCCCTTCTCCTTGAAGCCTCGGAGCTGCGGACAAGTTCGCGTCGATGCGCCGCCTCCTCCTCCTCCTCCTCCTCCTCCTCCTCCTCCTCCTCCTCCTCCTCCTCCTCCTCCTCCTCCTCCTCCTCACGTCTCGTGCGCAAGCGTTCCCTCCAGATCTGCTGGTGTTTCGATGCCAGGATGGGCAAGGGAGGGGGGGAGCCAAAGAAGCAACGGAAAGGGGAAGAGAGGGCAGGGATGGAGGGTGAACGCGGGGGGGGGGAAGGTAATGATGGGGGAGGGACGGAGGGGAGGAGGGACGGATGGAGTGGGTAAATGGGTGGTGGACAGGAGGAAAGGGGGGAGGGGGGCAAGGAGAATTGTGGCGAGAAACAGAGTGAACGAGAGAAAGAGAGAGAGACAGAAAAAGAGAGAGAGAGAGAGAGACGAGAGTGCAGGGGATGACGGGGAAGGCCAGGTGATGGAGGACAACGGAGGGATGGAGCAAACGAGGGGCGTAATGGAAGGGAGGGGGGAAGGAAGGATAGAGGATGACGGTGAGGGGAGGACGAGAAGACGGCAGGAGGAGGAGAGGAAGGGCATGGCTTGACGGGGAGAAGCTGCCAGGATGGAGAGTGGGTTAAGGAGGAAAGGGGGAATGACGGAGGGACACGAACGGGAAGGATGGAAGGGAACACGGAAGGATGGAAGGGAACATGGAGGATCACCCCCTCGGCCCCCGCATCCTTCCAGCCGCCCCCCATCCAACCCTCAAGCCCTCCCGATTCCACCCCTTCTCCAGCGCTGTGAAGGGATGGAGGGGAAGAGTCGGAGGGAGAGGAAGGGAGGGATGGATCGGATGATGGAAGGATGGGAGGAGGCGGAAAGTATCATAGCAAACCTAACGTAGAGCCACCCCGCATAATAAGGATGCGCGATAAGGATGACAGGGTGTCGGAAGGCCATGCCGACAATTTGCGAACGGGGCGCGACCAGCAAAAGCGGCCAAGGATGGGCCATATGGGAAGGTTGCAAGGGTAACCTTGGAAAATCGCTAATCCTTCCTACGAGGCTCGACGGTACGTCAACAATGATGCAACAGCGCACCGTCCAGTCCACAGCCCCCATCCGACACACGTGTCTACAGTAACTGTTCGTCCTTGCAAGGAGCGCCCCCGTTCAAAAACGAGCACCCCATGGGCATGTCATGGAGGCGGACATCCTGTGCTGAAGAACCGCCCTGCGCCATCCACCTCCGTAACCATCGAGTTGCCAGGATCGAATAAATCGTGCGCAGCTGGAGCCTGGTGAGCAGGGGCGCAATGTGGTCGGACGCATGCCCGGAAGCGCTCTCGAGCGGAAGGGAACACACACTTTTCCCGTCGCAGCCCGGCAAGGGCGATCCGCACGCGCGGTCGAGTGAGCCGGGATATGGCGGGCACGAATTGTCCGGCGGCAAGGAAGGGGGGAAGTAGGCGGGGCGCGGCCGCGGAGTGCGGAGGAGGAGGAAGGGGCCCAGGGACACAAAGAAATACACACATCCCAGGATCCTCCACATTTTCTCATATGTGTTCTGGGGTTATGACTTCGCCGCTCGGGTTTGCGGGCCGCAACCCTGAGCGGCGATCGAGAAGGAGTCTTGTTCGTGATCGCGCTCCGGCCCTGCGCGGCGGCTTACGCGGGCCGCCAGCGCGGCACGCTGAGTAGGAAGCGAGGGCGCTCGCGTGCGACCTCTCGCGAGCAGCTTAGGCGCCAAGGTCGGGGCAGACGACCCCCTTCTTCTGCGTCGCCCACCGTGGGCCAGCACACCGCCTGAAGATCATCAGTCGTCCTCGCCCCCCTCCCTCGACGAAGCGGCGGCGGTCGCGGGAAGGTCGGGCTGGACGAAGAGGGAGCTATGAAAGCGGGGGCTAGCGAATCACCTCACGTGGCTGGCTTTCCAGGCGCCCACCGTGCGCCAGAGGCGCCCACGCATCGAGGATCGAGGGAGGCACCCAGCGGCGGGCCCGAAATTGGTTGCGCGCATCACGCCCGACCCGAGGCAGGTCTGCGGATGAGGTGGGGCCAGGGGCTGAGCTTCGAACTGAGAGGAGAAGAGGGGGCATGAGATCTTGAAGGTACCATGGCCCTGGTCATGCACCCACCCCACCTCACAAGCACACACACATACACATACACACATGTACACACATGCACGCACACGCACACACACACACACCACACACACACACGCGCACACACACACACACACACACTGATACACACATATACATACGCACACCCTCAGATCTGACAGTGCAAAACATTGCAACACATCACAACATCACCACCGGAGCTCCAGACGCCATCCTTCTGCGGCACTTGCTGCAGGGGGCGGGGGCTCGCGCTTCGGCGACCGAGGCCGCATGCAGCAGCTGTCGTGCCCCACCCCCTCCCCCAAGGGCTCCCAACTTCGCGCTGCGCGCTGCGCGGAGCGCGACGCGCGAATCACTTCGAGCTCTCGCGCCTTCCCCCAGGGGAGAAGAGGAGGATGAGGAGGAATCGGAGCCGAACCGCGAAGCGCGAATAACTTCGCGCCCTCGATGGCGCCCTTGCTCCCCGATCCACCCCCCCCACACCTTTCGGCCGCCCCTTCTGGGAACAAGGGAAGGCGACACCGACACCAGCAGGGCGAGGAGAGGCGAGGAGCAAGGGGGTCTCCCCGGTGGTGTGGTCCGCCCGGCTCGCTCGAGACATCCCCAGCCTCCAGCTCGGGGAGGTACAGTCGGGGCGTTGACCTAAGGAACCCTAAATAAGGAACGAGGCCCCTATTTCCCACAAGTTGAACTTCCATTTCCCATCGAAACCCAAAGGAAAACCTGAGGCAAGCTGCGAAACAATCAAGGCACGCGGAGCCCCTCCCCAACAAAAAGGCTTCCTTCTTCAGGGCCCCGACTGTATCGCGGAACTCCTAGCTGGAGGTGGCCCCGCTGGTGGTGTTTTGGTGGCGCATCTCGCCCCTCCGACACTCGTCCGCCCCGAGCGGCGGCGACATCCGCGCCCTACCCCACCAACCATCCAGTCTCCTGAATCGATGTGAGGCACTCGCCATCGCTCGGACGTCCATTCCCTGTGTTTTTTTGTCGGGTTCGTGCGTTGTCTTTTCGCAAAATGATCAAGGATGCTCCTCGATGGTCCCCACCGAGGAAAAAATGCACACGTCCGAGCGATGCCAAGGGCAAGGGTAGGCCTCAGGTTTCGCCACGTGTTCGACGAATGCCGATCCCCCTCCCCGCACCCATCGAGCTGCCTGCATCGTGGATCGGCGCGGGCCAAAGGGGAAACCAAAAGGTACCCATGCCGTTACTCCCTAGACCTCTTCCGGGGTGCTTTCTGACCAGGATTAACTCGGGCCTGTCCCCCTACAGGGGAATTTTCAACGACAATATAGACAATACTCCAAAAATACCCAGAAAATGTTCAAACATGGTCAATACTCCATAAACAATACTCCAAATCGTCCCCTGATTATTTTTTCTATTTTCGAATGTTCCTCCTGTCGAGGGACGGGCCCGACTTAAATAAAACCAGGATCTCGAGGCGACTCCACTGGCGGTGGCGACGAGGGCCCCCGAGCAGGCCCACAAGGGGGAGCACGAGGGCAGGACAGCGCGGCATGGGTACCCGCTCCTCCTCTGAGGCGGGCTTCGGGTTTCGCCGCCGATCCGATCCGCGCCCCCGAGGCGGCGGCGGCGGCGGCGGCGGGGCGGGTCGGGGGCTCGCTTCGGCGACTGGGGCTGCATGCCCTTGGGCGTGTGGGCCGCCGGCCTCGCGTGTGGGGGAAAGGCCCGTCCCCGGGAGAGGGGGGGTGTAGGCCTGGCCTCTCTGCAGGTCGGGAGCCCGAGGGGGTCAGGTCAAAATCCGCTTCTCTTGACCGAGGCGTTGGTTTTGCTTGTGCGCTGTCATTCCTGCTTGCTTGTTTGCACATGTGTAGCGTTCTTCCTGCGATAGCGTAGAGTAGTGAGGATTCCTTCTGTGGCGGCTTACATGTGCATTCCTTTTGTCGCAGGTTACAGAAAGGATTCCTTGTGCAAACGATTTTAATAGGATTACTTTTCTCGCGGATTACGATAAGATTCTGTTCGTGTAGAGATACAGTAGGAATCCTTTTGTGCCGGTTCTTGGGGAAAACCCAGGAGGACAAAAAAACAACTGAAAAGCCAAGGAAATCAAGAACCTTGCAGGGTGTCAGCGAGTTTCAAAATACCTGCACAAGAAAATATAAAACAGCAAAACACACATTCTAGCTCTATGGTTTCTCGCTTCAGAAAACTGAAAACGCTGTGCTTTTATATGTTTCCAGTTCTGGAGACCTGGCAATGTTGTATTATTATAAATCGGATTTGCGAAATCATCGAAAGTCAATGGAAACCTGCAAATGTAATGTTGTTCTTGTTTTTTTATTTTTTTGTGTGTCTCCTCCTGGGCTTCTCCTAAGCACCAGCAAAAGACTCCCATTTTCATTCGCAGCAAAAGGAATCAGATTACAATGCATGTTACCAGAAGAATCCGATTGAAATCCATTACAAAAGAAATATTGTTGTGATCCTTCCCGAAAAAATATGATTGGAATCTTTTAGAGCCGGATCGGTTTTGAAGTCCTTTTACAAGACGACGTCGATTGAAATCTTGGGCACGACAAGAATCTGGCAAGCACGCCAGAACGAGCAAATGACGTAGACAAAAAACCATAACAAAGGGAACAAACAACAAAGGCGACAAACCAAAAGGGGCATCCAGTTTTGGATGCCCCCGCTCCCTCTGTTGCGCATGGTGTTTCCCGCGCGTCATTGCAACAACAATTTCGCTTGGAACTCGTCTTTGCCTGAATGAAGTCCAAATCAAATCTTGCCAGATCTCTGACAATGTGCGAATCGGAACAGCCCGTCCTGGAACAATGCTTCAGCGAATTGCTTTGTGTAAAGGGCACCGCCGAACGCTAATTGGCGGCTTGCATGAAACATCGACGGTCGGGTACATAAATCATACTGAGGCTCAAAACAACCTTTCGGCTTATTAGGGAACAAACAAAGGCGGTTAACAAAAGGGGCACCAAATGTTTGATGCCCCCGCTCTCTTCGTTGCGCATGGTGTTTTCCGCGCGCCGTTGCTGCATCAACTTCGTTGGGTATGCATTTGTACGAAAAAAACTCGGAATCGAACTGCGCATCGCAACAGCCCGTGCTGGAACGATGCTCAAGCGAATTGCTTTGTTTAAAGAAAGACCGCTGAACGTAAGTTGTCGGTTTGCCTGAGAAGGCTCAAAACAAACTTTCGGTTCATTAGGGACCGGACAAGAACGAAAACTAAGAAAGGCATCCATTTTTGTATGTCCCCGCTCCCTTTGTTGCGCATGACGTATTCCGCGCGGCGTTGCTGCAACAATTTGGTTTGGGAGGAACCCTTTGAAACAATATCGCATCCAACCTTGCAACATCTTTGACGATCCGCGCGTCGGAACAGCCCGTCCCGGAACAATGCTCAAGCGAGCTGCTCTGTTTGAGGAGACCGCTAGACGCAAGTTGCCGGGTGGCCTGAAGAAGGCAGTCGACGAGGTACATAAATCAGCGAGGGGCCCAACACAACCTTCTGGCTGATTTGGCACCCTCAGTATGCACTGGCTGGAAAAACGATCATCGTCTCAGTATTCCGCTACAAAAGGAAATCCATTAGTAACCCGTCACGAAAAGGATCCTCAATTATCTTTTTCTCCTTCCGCTCTCACCCCTCTCCCCTCCTCTACTCTACCCTTCTCACTCGCCGGTCATCCGCGCGTGCATCCAAATCGGGGCCACCCGAAGTCACGAGAAGACCGGCCTGGCAGCAAAACAGCACCTCCCCGCTGGTTGGAGGCCTCCTAGACGGAGTGGATGGGGTCGGAGGATCGCGCAGCATCGCCGATGCATCGACGATGCATCGCCGATGCATCGCCGACGTCGGCGGTGCATCGGCGACGAAGGCGTGGAGAAAATCGGGCTCCGCATCGCCGACGCATCGCCGATGCACCGGCGAGGCGGCGGGCTCCTCAGACCCCGTCTGCTCCGACCCCACCTATAGGAGGCCTGAATAGACTGGTGCCCCGCGTCCTCGCAGGACGGCACCACCCCCACCCCACCTGGGTGCCCCCCCCCCTCGATCCCGTCCAAGAGAGCCCAGGATCGGATCGACAAGTCGGATCGGCGATCGACATGAATCGGATCGTCGAAAATCGGCAGCTGAGTCGGGAAAAGTCGGATCGGCGGAAATCGGCAGGCTAGTATGCCTCCAACAAGAAATCGGAACTCAAATCGGAATCCCAGATCGAATCGAGTCGGAATCGGAAACTCCAACCCCACCTAGGCGCCCCCCCCCCCCGCGGGACGGCCGCCCCGCGTCCCTCGGAGGGGGTGCGCACCTCTCCGCCCCCGCTGGACCCTCTCCGTGCGGAGTCCTGCACGCCGTGCGCGGCCCCACCGGGGAGGCCTACAGACTGGCGCCCCATCGCTCGGACGTCCATTCCCTGTGTTTTTGTTCGGTTTCGTGCGTGGCTTTTTCGCCAAATGATCAAGGATGCTCCTCGAGGGTCCTCGCCGAAGGAAAAATGCACACGTACGGGCGATGCCCAGCCCTAGGCGCCCCCCCCCCCCCCGCGCGGGACGGCCGCCCCGCACCCCTCGGAGAGGCTGCGCACCTCTCCCCCCCCCCCGCTGGCACCTCTCCGTGCGGCGTCCTGGCCCGCCGTGCGCGGCCTCCCCGGCCCTCTCGGGGCCGAGGACGGCTCCACACGTTTTTTTCGCCGGCGGCGAGGCAGCATGGCTGCACCAGCGGCAGAGTTAAATACAGGGCAGCCTTTGATACATAGCACTTATACAAATATGGGATTTGAGTACACGGTTAATGTATGAATGAATTTATGCATGAACTCATCGTTTTTCTTAGTACTACAATGCATGAACTCATCGTTGTTCTTAGTACTACATCCCTGCATTTTTAATGCATGATCCGCACGCGGAGCATATATGAAAAACGGCACTGTAGGGGGCACCGAGAAGCGAAATTGGCCAGCGTGCGGGAGGAGGGAGAGGACGGACAGGGAGGCCGCGGAGGGGGGAGGAGGCGGGGCCACTCAGAGGCGGAAGGCGTCCGAGCTGAGGCGTGCTGGCGCGGCAAGCCCCGTCAGCGGGGACCATGTTGGCAGCGGGGCCGCAGCGCCGGGGCACCCACGGGCGAAGGGGACCGCCAAACACACAACACGGAATGAAAAAAAACTGGCCTCGGGGACACGACCTCAGCCCAGACTCGAAAAGACAAGTCGGATCGGCGACCCAAACGAAGCGGATCGGCGGAGATCGGCAGCCGAAGTCGGGAGAAGCCGGATCGGCGGAAATCGGCAGGCCGATAAGGCCTCCACTGAGACATCGGAATCCGAATGAGTGACGGTCCCAAACAGGTCTTACGCGAGATGACGTAGCGACCTGACGCGGCGGCTTACGCGGGCCGCCAGCGCGGCACGCCACATGGGAAACGCGGGCGCTGTCACACGACCTTACGCGGGCAGCTTGCGCGCCAGTGCCGGCGCAACAGACCCCGTTTGTTTTGACGTCGCTCACAGAGGAATCCGAGACCACATCTAATCGAAATCTGCATCCATCGACACTTAATGGAACCGAATCGGCGGAATCGGCACGAACTTCCTGCTTTATGGCACCACTCTGCTGGGCAACGTCGCGCCTCACCCTCGGCGTGGCCCCCGGTCTTCCTCCCCTCGCCATCACTGGAACGTCCATTCCAAATCCATGGTTCCGCTCGTGCGCGCGTGTTTTCCGCAAGATGACCGCCGATGCTCCTCGATGGTCCTTGGCGAGGGGAAAAAACACGTCCGAGCGATGCCAGTATCGGGGGAATCGATAAAAACAATACTTGTTGTGACCCTCTGCTGGGCAACGTCGCCCCTCACCCTCGGCACGGCCCCCGATCCTCCTCCACTCGCCATCGCTGGAATGCCCATTCCCCGTGCATGTTTCCGCTTCGCGCGTGCAGTTTGTCCGCACGATGACCAAACATGCTTCTCGATGGTCCTCGCCGAGAAAAAAGAACAAGACACACCTCCGAGCGATGCCAAGATCGGGGGAATCGGCACGAACCCTCTTTTCTAGGGGACCCCTCTGCTGGCCACGTCGCCCCTCACCCTCGGCGCGGCCCCCGACGTCCATTCCACGTGCATTGTTCCGCTTCGTGCGTGCACTGTTTCCGCAGGATGGCCACACATTGGATGCTCGTTCTGGGGACCTTCCTGGAGCCACTCGCTCCACTCGTGCGTCGAAGCTGCGTCGAACGTCAGTCGATTTGGGTCGACCCTGAGTCGAACCTGAGTCGAACCTGAGTCGAACCAGAGTCGAACTTGAGTCGAACCTCAGTCGAACTTGAGTCGAACCTGAGTCGAACAGATCCGTTGGGTGGGCCCCAGGAAGGTCCCCGAAACGAGCATCGAACGTGCATTGTTCCGCTTCGTGCGTGCACTGTTTCCGCAAGATGGCCAAACATGCTCCGCGATGGCCCTCGCCGAGAACAAGCTCTTCCTGACGAAGGGCCCGGCCAGACGCTGTCGTGAGCACCGCGTTGTGGGCACCTCTTCCGGTGGAGCTCTCTCTATGGGGCCACGAACCTTTTGAGGGGTGTGCCGACGTGTGTGTCGGACGCAGGCGGACCCTGCCACTGGGGCCTTCGGTGGAGCTCCCTATGGGGATACGAACCCCGTGAAGGGGGTGCCGAAATGGTTGACATGCGGAGGGCAGAGACAGGAATGGGCAGAGACAGGAATGGGAGGAGGAAGGAGGGGGAGGAGGAGAGTGAGTGATGCGGGGCGCTGTCTCTCCAAAACGAGGACTCAAGACCACATGATGGTTAGAAAAGAAACGTCCGAGCGATGCCAAGATCGGGGGAATCGACGCGACCCCCCTGCTTTTTGTGACCCTCTGCTGGGCAACGTCGCCCCTCACCCTCGGCGCGGCCCCCCATCCTCCACCCCTCGCCGCCGTCATCGTCGTCGTCGTCGTCGGCGTCGGCGTCATCGTCGGCGTCGTCGTGTCGTCGTCGGCGTCGGCGTCGGCGTCGGGGTCGTCGTCGTCTCGTCGTCGGCGTCGGCGTCGTCGGCTTCCGCGTCGGCGTCGTCGGCGTCGGCGGCGTCGACGTCGCCAGTGTCGTCGTCTTCGGCATCGGCGTTGGCGTCGGCGTCGGCCCCGCCCCCCGCGGCGGCGCCCGAGGGTGGCCGGGCCGGGCGAAGGCGGCGCGTTGGCGCCGCGGAACACGTTCGGCGTGCGTGGCCTGGCGGGGGGGGGGCCCAGCGGAGGCGGGCCACGCGCAGCTGTGTTGCGAGTCAGGATGATGAAGGTGTTGCTGATTCGCGGTGTTGAAATCCCAGGAATAGCGCTCTGGCACAATTCAGGCTCGTCAAACCGCAATATGTGAGGTTGATCCGTGACGCTTGATTCACGAACAAAAATGCTTGGGCATGCTTCAAGTTCTTCAAACA